ACATTAAAGACAACGGTGACGCATTGAAGGCAATGATACCACCACAAATCAACAAAAATATTATTGATAAAATTCCGCACGCAGAGAAGAGGAGATTATTTTGCTCCTTCTCTTTCCGTTTTGCTTTTCAAAGAAAGGCTTCTTTTTTTCGGACCAAAATATCTTCCCGCATTGTCCAACAGTTAATATGCATGATACCATTGTAACTGGGCCACTATACGATCAACATAGTATATGGGGCAGCACATCTGCGCACATGCGACATAAAATGTGTTTATCAATTGAAATTTTTGTAAGGGAATTAGTAACTTACGTCGACAATCCGTTAATTCACCAAGGACATTACAGTATCCACTAGGAGAGGATAAAGATTAACATGAACGACTCCATTTTATACAAATTATCGAAACTAAAAAGTAAAAAAGTGAAATTCTTATACAATGTAAACGTGACCGTTTGTACGTCCGTTGCCGCTTAAATTTTCACATGATAAACTGCTGCCCTAGCTACCCTTTGTACAAGAACGCATTTATCCATTATATCGGTTCTCTTCTTGCACCGCCTCAGCCCAACGATGTAGGACTAATTTAAATTTATGTTTGTATTTATATGGATTTTAAAGTATTCTTGCTTCTATCGAAGCCTGCGGCTGGTGTTCATATTACGGCAATCTGCTGTAATGCAATTTATATGATAGTTTTGCATGAGTGATTATGCCTATTGAAGTAATCCGCTTCAGAGCAGTTTAGTGTATCCTGTCGTTGTGTAGTTTATTTTCTCCCGTTATAGCACAGTACATCCAACTTAGTGTAGGTTGATTTCTTCCTGCAGTATGTATTCTCGATCATTTGTACTCGGCATTATATCGCTGCTGTAAAGCATTCCCGTTCCTTTCCCAAAACGGCATTTCCTCTCACTTACCCAGGTTTCCTGCTGTTCGCATCTATCATGAATTCTTCTGTCTCAGTAGGATTATACTCCACGTATTAGCTTCTGTTTCCGGTATGACTTGAATGACTACAATTCCGAAGATGTAATGATACGCTGTTACTTTTCACATATTAGTTGCTTTGAGTAAGAGTTTCTGTGAACAGCGGACAAAAAAAACCTCAAGAAAACGTGGGTGTTCTCAGTTTAGATTGTACTATAGTCGTGTCTTTTATAAGAACTTTCACGGGTTCTCCCCATATCTTGATTGTTGGGAAAAGAAGAATGATTGTGCGGTGCACATTATACACAAACAAATTTGATACTGATCAGGAATATATTATGTATATTTCATGCGATCCCTGAAGCTTCCTTCTAAGTGTTGCAAATGTTTTAACAAAAGTACCACACTACCACCCCTCAGTGACGGGTATAAAAAACAAAAAAAAAAAGTTTTACATATTAATGCTTTATATATATTATTTTATATACGCGATTAATACCAATGACTTGAAATTACGCAATCATCACTCGTAAGCATTATGCGTAGCAGTAATTGTTGAAATTATTAAATCAATACATAGATAATAAGAGTGTTTAAGATAATTTTAAGAATAAAAGCGGAAATGTATTTCAGAGACGTTTGCCAGTAACGTAACATAATTAGCTTTGTTACATTTGAGTGGAGAAATGCTTTTAAAGATTGATTTAAATGACATTACACTGCTTTTGCAAAGCAGGAGTGCATACGATGCCGCGTTTTTAAACGCGCACACGCTATGCTAAACATTGAAATGCAAATGAAAATAAAGTGTGTGCCTGCAAAGGCTTTTGGGATTTTTGGAAATATTATCTAAGTTAAATATGATTTACAAAACATATATCAGACCGAGAGACTATCAAGTCCCCAATAAATTTCGCCGCCCTAATATTAGGCGTTTGCAAAAATGTTAATCATTTTTTCGTTTCAAAAAGGCATTTATTTTTGAAAATTTATACAATATATATTAATCATAATAGTTTCCATCATTTTCTACAAGATTTTACAATATTCTTGGCAATATGGTGATATCCTGTCGAAAGAACTTATATCGGTTTGGCAGCGATCCGAATTCATTCAATTTTACGGACCCGCGTGCCAGCCGAGCAGTGCGGCACCGATCTGAACAAGCGGTAACCAGGAGGCAACATGTCTAGTGTGTACGCTGTGCGTGGCAGAACTTCCCATTCGAGCTGCAAGAATGTAACCTGAACAACTCTTGCAACAAAAGGCCAAAAAAAGGCATTTTCAGGTAACTCGTGCCTGCGCTTCAAAAACCGTTGAACTAAAAACCGACATTTGGGATATGATGGAGCAGCATTGCCGCAAGCCTCTGAACATATTTAGTGGGCTTCAGCAGCCGATTGCTTCAAACAAACAATAAAAGTAATGAATTTTGGATGCTCCATGATTGGCGTCAGCGTACGCCGAATAAATTAAAAATATTAAATGAAAAACTATTTTTTTCTTCTGTTTTATGCAGCGGAAGGTCAAAACCATCGAATTTAGCCGTTATGTACACGGGCAATTCTTTATCATTTTTGTTTGTAGAAGCCACTGGTCCAAATTTTTCCAAACACCTAATAAAATAATCTATTGACTGTTTTCATAATCACACTAGGTAGGCTGTCGAAAGGTGGAATACAATTAAACTACAATTTAAGCCGTAAATGAACAATTTAATAAAGAAATGATTATATCTTATATATATATATATATAATGCTTACAATGCTTACAAGCATTGAGCTAGGATAGGAAAACATCGCCAGCTACTTATTTCATGTGTATATGTTTAAAGATACAAAAAAGTGTTGGTATTCTGAAAAGTAGGCAGCATGTGAAAGCACACCTTTTCATCGTCAAAATATGTGTTAAATTAAGTAGCGTTACAAGATCCAGGAAAACAACGCCAATTATACCATGACGGCGACGATCCCCCTTACAAGTGTTACTATTTGGACGACTGTAAATTAAAAATAATGCATTTATTGTATTAAGTACATAATTATTTTCCTTACCGATGCTACTCGCTCAGCATTGACCAGCATGGCAACCTCAAGCGTGAGTTGCAATTATTACTCGAAAGTAGATATAATGCATCATTCTAGTATTTTGCACCACAAAACTTCAAAATGAATGCTAAGACCTTCTCCGATGGTTTGTCATACTTCCATATACCTAATAGTATGTACATATGTATGTACATAATTGGTTTATTGAAAATATGTGAAAATATTGACATTTTCACACTCAATTCCGGACTTGATCACACATCCCCCGTTTTTGAGGTTATCACCAGATTACTTTCCGCTAAGGTTCCGATCAAGCTGTGGTGAGAACGCAACGAAGTCTCCCCTGAATGAATATTTCCACCTAAACACCGTCTTAGCCGCATACATGTGTAAATAATTGTTCGTTCAATCTTATATGCATACAAAGTTTGGGCCATTGCGATCTCTTCTCTCTTAACTCTTCTTCCGCAATCAACTTGCTGTTAGCTTCGCTTTACAAGTCTGCCAAAGTTTCTGACATCTGGGGGCAAAATAGGGTTTTCTCATCTTTGAAATCCAGATTCTCTTTTCCGCAAAAAAAGACGACAAATGAGTTTGCCGCCAAAAAGAGTAGAAAGTTTGGCCAACTTTCTATTATAAAATAGAGAAATTGGACGTCTTGCCTCGAGATAATACCATCTTTTTATCTTTCAGTTGTGAAATAAAGTCTTGTGTATATTCAACATCGGTAAAACTATTCAAATATCATCTTGCAGTGAAAAAACTCAATGCTGGCAGATTTTTGTTACACGAATGCCTACAAGCATTGCAACTTCGTGTTCGATATTTTCATTTTACTGGAAAGTCTATCTGCATGTTGGCAATGCAATTCAATTATACACTCGACAACATAATATGATAAATTAATTATAGTCAGTGCACCTTACATTGTTGTATATGTTCTTAAGTTCTCTTCGTTGTCATTGCTTACTTCATTTTACAAACATATTTATTTTTACACATTTCACAGACCGAAAAAAACCAGGGAGGTATTAATGTATTAACCCGATAGTTGATAACCTTTCTTATTTGCTTCACGAAAGACTTTCGTATTCATGCCGAATGAGAAAAGCAGAAAAAAGCTGTTCCAGCTGTTTCACCTCTCTGATGATATCTCAATAAGGGGGAGAGAAAAAAAGGATTAAAATGGACTTTATATATATTGTGTTTGTAATAGGTATTTAAAAGCCGTTTTTGAATGGACGAGCGAATTTTTCAACTGTTGTGTCCACGTAAAGCAAAAAAAAAAAAAAGGAAAGGAATGCTATCATATACGTGAAGCAAAAACGGCCGAAAAATGAAAACGTAAGCTAAACGTATGAAAAATGCAACGTTTTTTGCTATCAACAAACAATGAAATGAACACTATAATTGCGTTATGCGTTTGATAGGTGCACAGTAATACCATTAATACAGAAGGAGTAGGAGTAAAAAGAAGATTGTGATGACAGAACGCAGTACCATAATGGAAAGGAGAGAGATTATCGTCGAACAATGCTAGCAAGGGTGACACTTTATTCTGGAAGTCTGCAACTGCTTTTCCATCATTTTTTTTGTTTTTTGGTAGCTTGGTTAGCTATATTATTTTCCAAATTACTTAAGTTACTTTAATTTTTTCTTATCTCTGTCTGTTATGACAAATAATAAAAGTAACCGTTAAAAAGCCTAAAATGTTAACCATATGATCTTGTTTTCTCAATGCATTCATTGTTCAATTGCACACCACATTGCAATTTTAGCTTCGTGCGCCGCGCATAACGCACAACGCATAACCCAATCATTGTGTCAAATGCACAGTTTACATTTCGAGAGAGGATTCGGACTGTGTTTTGGCATTTATTAATTCTGTTTACTTTTCGATCCATTCGTACACGACTGTCACGGTTTGGTTGTTGTATTTATTTTGATATTGTTTACTTTCCGCGTCTTCTTACTTTTCGACTAACGAGTAGAGATTTGCCGCGATTTTCAAAAAAAAAAAAGAAAAGAAAAGTAGTTAAAGTGATTTAAGGCATATGAACACATCTCGTGTAAAAATGCCTTCTTGCAGAGTTGAAATACAAGCAAATTTTGTAATAAAGAAACTACAGCCAATGATGAAACTTACAAAAACAAATACCTGCCGTTTTTGGCTAATTTACATATACTCTATCAGATGGTCACATGCTGTTAGCAAAAAAAGAACTGTAACATTGAAGGTGCAGTCCTAGATATGAAATACAAAAGAATTAATATCAATTAGAAGAAAAGGGCTCAGACTAAGTTCTTATAGAATTGGAATTCCCATAGTCCAATTATAATAATCAGTATTCTTGGATAGTTGGAATGCAAGTAATAAGGAACAAAATAAAGAGCAGAACAATGAATGAATGAATGAATGATAGATTCCTTCAGGGGCCGGTTTACGGTTCTCAATATCGAGTGCGTATTCGATCCGACAGTCGTCTTTTACATGCGAACCACCACCAGTTAAATTTACTTTATATTAATAATCTACACATACTTTTAACTTAATTTAAGTTAGATATAAGTTCGCTCTTTCCCGCTTACATGCATACATATAAATGCTGTTAACATGCATGCATACGTATCATTCGTTTTTGAACGACCGCAAAGCTTGGTCGTTTTAACAAACAAGATATTATCGTTCATTACAATTTCAAATAAAATAAATCAAGAAATCCCATCGCCATCTTCAACATCCTCATTTATTCTCGTTTTCGTCTTTACAAATGTAATTCTCATTTCGTTTCATTATCAAATAGCATAAAATATTGGAGCAAAAAAGCTTACATCGCACACAAACAATCCTATCGTTATTCATTATATATATATGGTATATATATATGATACGATATGATAATATATATATAGATTATTTAATTTATTATTACAATTTTGGATGAGGCATGTGAAAACGATGGTCGGTGAAGCGAAAAAGCATTCGAGATATATAAAGCACTTGACGGGGCACGAACGCCATGTCAAAAATTTGCAAGAAACCATACTAATGGACGTAACTATTTGATATATTTTGATTTTGGCAGGTTTGAATTTGTTTAGTAGCTGCCACATGTGGCTAGTCACCTTGACCCAATAATATACTTTTTATTTATGTAATTTACATAACTTTTTTTTCGCCCGCATTTTTTCATATATATATTTTAATAAGAAATATGTATTTATATATGAAAAGATTTTGTTGTTACTTTTAGTTTTATGGTTTTTCAGATTGTTATAAGATAAAAAGGAAAAAATAGTTTTTAACAAGGATCAAGGACCGGTAACCATATACGAGAGTAGACGTGTACTAAAAACAAATTAACTTTAATTGTAATTGCGACAAAAGTTGTTCAATAATTAAATAAAAAAGCTCTGGTTCCCTTGCATTTGCAAATTATTAAACGAAAATCTCTCTATTAAGAAACATCATAACGTTTGTCATTTTAATGTTTCCATGTAACTCTCTATATGTTTTTGGATATTCTGCATCTCAAGAACAGTCTAAATAAGGAATAAAAAGAAAAGTAAAATAAATGGGTGTAAATTCGTTCAGAAAAGGCTTACTTACCAACTACCCTAATTCAAACGCGCAAATTGTGAAGCTGACGTTTGCAATGCGTTAAATGTGGACTGACCTTATGCATCAGTGCATCTATTTCATGCACGATGTGTGAATGAATGAAGTTTTTATTGATCAAGACATCTTCGTCCGTCCACTTATCTTTAGAAAGTATCTAACATAATTTTTGAAAATGTCTAATATATAAAAATATATAAATCCTTAAAATGGGCAATGAATCGTTCGGCTGGCTCGTGTTGCTAAACCGGTTTAACATTGACGGTCATACGGTAAAAAGTAGCATCTCAAAACTCTATTAAAAGCGGTATTGGAACGTTAACAAGACCAGATTGATATCGAAATGAAAGGGAAAGCCAGCCATTAAAAAGTCCAATCTAATGATTTTGAACATGCTTCCACTTATGCGCAGACCATCAGTTCTATTGAAACTAAGGAGTCATTTCGACTTTTCCGTGACAAGTTCAGGCGTATTAACTTTTTTTCGGGCAATGCAACATTTCCGATGTATTAAGCCTTCCCATAGAATTTTCAAGCTGAAAGAAGACAAAAATACACAATAATAAACTTAAAAGAAATGTTGGCAAGAGGTCATACTTCATAATGAGCACGAGCATGCCTGCTCGTTCACCACATTTGGCTTCAGATGTCCAATGCAATTTCCAAGCAGTAATGTTTACAACTGGATCGATTAACAGCGATTCCGTAAAACAGATACCAATAATTTCGTGAAAAGTTTACTTTATCTTCGAAAGACTTTTAGAGTAACTTTTTGTACTGTATTTGACATCTGGTATTGTTACATAGTTCGCCGCGTTATTAGTGCATAAAATATATTTCCAAAAACCGGGCGCTGCTGATTGAAATATTACAAAGTAATCGAAGCGGCGGCGAAGCGGTGTTCAACTTAGGCGGCATAACTTAGACCTAAAATTATTAATAGTACCCAACTAAAAATTAATAAACAAGAAGTTAGAATCACTTTGAAATTATATATGATTTGGATTGCCATACCTGCATGTCATACTCGCGTTGCTCGCCTTCGATCCGATTTCCAATGAAATATGCCGCGCAAGCATTGGGTTGTGCCGAAATGATTTCAACGTTTCCTCTCCATTATAAATTACCGCACTTGGAATTGAATTAATTAAATAAACATGAACAAATTTCCTTACATGCGTTCTTTTTGTTGTCGCACAATGTGTCCCAGTTGAGTACAACTATTGGGTGAATATTGATTGATATGTTGCATGACATCTTTAGAAGTTTGCAATGGGACCTTTTGGAAGGTTAAAGGTGTGAGCTGGGAGGGATAGAATATGTATTTAGCTACAAGGCAAAATTTTTTTTTGGTGAAAATAATGTTGACATCATTGATACCAACTCTCGCTTTAACGGTGAAAACGGCCGAGTTATTTCATCACAATCGTTATTACTGAGGCAACTACAAAATAGTTGGCAGGGTTTTTCGTCTTACTCACATAAGTAAATGTTTTCAATGCCCATAATCTTACTGATCTGTTCGTCTTGTTTTCTTTTTGTATAGTCTTTACTGCATAAGCTACGGAACGAACTGAAATAGTCTAACGGCAGTTGCTGTTATTGCAGGAGTTGCAATGGCACAATCTAGTGATAGACTTGATTTGTATTTCGGACTAAGTATTTTTCTTCTTCTTTAAATGAGATCGAAATTTTGCGGACAATTCCCAAGTTCTCTGTGCAAATGTGAGGGTCACCTGGCTTCAGCTATTTGAATTTGAATTCGTGATCTTTAATAAAATTGTTGGTATTTTGGGCATTGTCGAAATGTAATTTGCGCAGCCATTTCTAATGGTTTCAAGACATTTAAGCCCACAGAGATTGAAGTATTTGATATATTCATAGAAAAGGAGGCCGCAAGTTAGGCCGATCCAATGAACGTGCATAAAAACATAAAAATCGCAAATAGTATCAATATCACAGAAGTTGGCCTGATCCAGAGTGACACTCTTATCATGCAAAGTTGGAAAGATATTATCACCTTCAGGAACGGAGGCAACAACATTGTCATAACTATTTTAACTATCTATCTCTTTCTTGAAATTTGTAGACACATACCTAGAATCATTGATATTGATAACCGTATACTCAGCAAAGAGCAACGATGTAAGAATCTTAACAATTAGCTGAAAATCCTTTTTTTTTATTAGTTAAATTTTGATATACAGGAGATTGAAGTGAAGAATATAGATATATAGAATTCTTTCATATTTCATATTTGAAACAGAATGCTTCATTTAAATTTGCTCTTAAGCATTGAAAAGGAAAATTTAATGCAAATTAGCAAAATTGCAGGACCGAGAAAGCGTCCTGGTTCGAGCAAGGTTCTCAGACTCCTTATATAAAACGGCGTTTATTTATTTCTGCATGACACTCTCGTTGTTTGCAAACTTCTCGTTATTTATAAACAGAGTAATGTGAAACTTGCGATATATTTTCCTTTATTTTTTTTATAATGAGAAATAAGAACGAAAACTATGACGATCATGATATATAATGCAAAGAAAAGTGATTATCATTCTTACGTTGTAGTTGAAGCGAACGAGAGTAATCAGTGATCTGGTCAACATCACAGGCACATCGCAAACGATAGTCCAATTGACGTTTTGGCATTCTAACATCGAATCAGGGAGGTGGAGACATGAGAAACTTACAAATTGCGGACCGCCTCTTTCTTATTGTGCAGAGAAGTTTAAAAAATATGTACAAAAAAAATTTGAAAAACAAATCAGAATTTTTACCCATGAGTGATTCGTGATAAGTTCTCCCTTCAATGCAACATATGTAAATTATAGGATGACCGTTGATAAAACAAAAGCAAAAAAAAAAAAAAAAAGAAAGATTACTATACGTAGATTTCGTTCAACGGGCACCTTCTTTAAAAGCAGCTATGGTAGAAGGATTTGCTACGCTTCGCTAGCCAATGTTATGGTCCTACAGAGTTCCGTGATGTTTTTCACATCTCACCACGCTCGTACGAGGCTGCGATATTCTGTTTCCTCGCCACAAATTAACGATCATTGTATATATGTGTATATAGCAACCCATGAGTGACACCGAAGTGCGCTAGGCGCTCGCTATATGACAAAAAAATTACTACGTACTTGCACTTATTTTCTCTTCTTTTATCATCAAAAAAAAAATTAAAAAATTTTTAGTTACTTACTGGCCTTAATTTATATTGTTTTTAGTTTACTTATATACATATGTATATATATATATATACATTGTTCTATAGAAGCATCTAATTAATTAATAAATCAAGCTTATTATGTTCACAATAGTTAACGCAGTCCCTAAGTAAAAGGAAATAAGGCGAGATGTCTACGAGATTCAAACACAACTTTGCCCCTTACGTCTGATATTTTGGTCTAGAAGTTAGTAAAAATATTGCCTATGGCCATAAAAAATCTCAGTGAAAAAAAATATCAATTGAGCAACTAATACGCTAGAAATTTTAAAAAATCCTTAAAATTGTTGTGAATGCGTTTGAGTTAATGGATATCAAAGATTATTTGGAAGACTTATATGACTTTTTTTGCCGTTCTTTTTTTTAAAGATTTTCAAATTTTCTAAATTGACATTGAACGGATTTCATTTCATAATATTAATCATTTTTGCTAAAAGTACACCAAATAACGAAATAACCGCCGGTCGACACCTCTTCAAATAGCCTCGAAAGGGTGGACATTCATATAAGAGAGAAGGTATCGATAGAAAATCCTATTGAAACTAAAACTACATTTCACGACAAAAATGATTGCGACAATTACAATCTTGTTCACACACATAGCTTATACAGCAGAATATATTGGAATAAGAGTGTGTTAGTGCTATAATAAAAATACGTGTGTTTGCCTTGCGAATGCACTTTTTTGAAGTAATAACGCATTTTGTGTTTAACTTCGATATTGCCATGTGGCTTGTATTGTTGCAAAATTGTCACATTGTATATAGTATTACAAATACAATCTTCATCCCTGAAAGTAGACCATTATAAGAATAGTATAATAGTATAACAATATTGCGAAAAATGAAAATTATTTCATAAGATATTTCTTTGCAAGGCATGAAAAAATAAACATTTTTCATATATGTGCGCGTTGTCTTCAGAATTAAATATTGTCGCACAAGTGGTGTGGGGCATATTTTGAAGTTGTGCGTACATACGTAACAGACGGGCTTAAGATTAACCCGCCTTTTATTGTACCGATGTAAGTTAGTCTGTCCACCTGTGCGGTTAATGTCTGTCCATGTATTTTTGTATTCCATTCATCCACCTTTTATTGTACCGATCTAAGATTGTCTACCCACCTGACTGGCTAATGCCTATCCATGTATTTTTGTGTTCAATTTACAGGTCGCAATTTTTAAGATAATTCGATGAAATTTCATGGAAAATATGTCTTTGCACGAAAACGATGTGTACTTCTTGGTGTATTATTACCAAAACAATAAGAACATTATAGGCGGGCGAGACTGATCGTTTAATACTCTACACTACCTGGCCTAGTATATTTACTTGCTTGTTTTGGTTGGATTTTTGTAGCGTGAAAGAGATTGGAGTTTCCACCCATTCTATTGTTCTCTATTGAAAGATGTCAAATATATTAGAAAATTAAAAACATTTGACATAATATACAGTGAAACTTCTGTTCAGTTGACATTCGCTTAATAAAGTGAATGTTACAGACAAATTTCTACCTTTCATAAGAACACAAAGAAAAGATTTTCGGTCCCCTAAGTATTCGCTTACAAGAAATCAATTAGTTGCACTTCTTTCGGCCATAAATAATCGGGTTATATAAAGACTTCACATCCATAGTTAATATTCAATTGATGTGCAACGACGGCTATCTCTTTCCCGTGTAAATATAAAAAAAACTGCCAATAAAAGTTTCTATCACTTCCAAATTTTCTTTTACTTTTTCAAATATTTTTATGTCAATTTAATATAAGACAAAAAAATCCAACGTTTTTCGTATTTTTTTTTTCGGAAAATTCAAAAAATTTCTTGTAGATCTCGTAAAACTTAATAAAAAAAAAAATAAAGATGTTTCGGTTTTCAAAATTCTTCATTGTATCCAAATTGACGGATTACAACTGGTACAAAACTGTCCTGGAACGAAATATTGGATGTATTTGTGAACACTTAAGCAGCCCGGCTTTGTTAAATAACTGCGTCTTCAAATCATGCGTGCAAGCCCCACAGCACCATGATGTACTGTGTTCGTCAGAAAATATTATCGTTTGTGGTACAGTTTTGTGGCGCAAAAAATATGTATCCAAATATATCGTAGGAAAACGCGAATATCATATGCATCGAAAATTTGGTACGAAAACTACAATCACCGATGACACAAGCAATGATAAAACGCCTAAAACAGGTACACAACCCATTTTATATTTAATTTGGAAAATAAAATTTCTTTTTTTTTTGCGCAATGATAATTTAATAGGTAATACGTCGTCAAAAACACCTAAAAAACAGCGTCGGAATTATATAAGAAGCACACCAAAGATTAAAAGCCTGGATATCGCGAGTAAGTCATTAGCAGTTAATAAGCGAACAAAGAAACATGCCATAGGTATGTTCATAAGCAAAAACTGGGAAAATTTACAATAATTTAATTTTTTCTTTTCGCATACCGTTCCCAGAGTCTATACAATCCAATTTCTTAACGAATCTCAAATGCGCGGCCGAGGGAATTAAAATTGCCGAGAAAATCAACGAATCAAAAAATGTAATTGAGTTAAAAGAAGAGTACGAAACGAAAAAAATAAACGACTCAATAGAATCGAAGCGAAAGTCTCAAGATGCTAACGAAAAGGTACCAAACGTGTCTAAAGAAAACGTTAAAATTACTGACAAAGACATTGACAAAAAGGCGCCAAAAGAAGAAAAAGAAGTCTCTGAAGGTACTGTTAAAGCAACATCAACAGACGCAAAAGAAACCGTGGAAGAAACTGATAAAAAAGAGCCACAAGAAGAGGAAAAAAAATTCTCTGAAGCGACCGGTAAAATGCCATCAAAAAAATTGAAAGTAATCTCTGACAAAACAATTTTGGAAGAAATGAAAGCAGTCTCTGAAGACGGCACCAAAAAAATATTAGGTGAACCCAAGAAGATCTCCGAAGATGCTAACGAAACACTATTAAAAGTATTGACGGAAAGCTCTGACAAAAATATATCGAAAGAAGTGAAAGTAGCCTCTGCAACAGCCGACCGAAAAGCTACAAAAGAAATGAGATCAATCTCCAAAGACGGCGACAAAAAAAACCCAGAAATGCCCGCGGAAGTGGTTGGAAATACTGAGAAAGGAGCATCAAAAGAGTCGAAAGCAATCCTCGAAGCCATTGACAACAAAGAAAAGATAACCGATAATAATATATACTTATCGAAAGAGTTTGTTGAATCAACTAATCAAACCAAAGTCGGGGAAAATAATGGAATGAAAGTTGAATCAGCACACGTAAGTGTTTTGAATGCTCCTAAAACAGATGAGAAAAAGATTGAAACAAAAGAGTCTATCGAACTGAAAGGAATGAACAAAGTAGAACAAATACCATTGTTAGATGACATGAAAATGGCCGAAAAAACGAGTGCAGATAGAACAACTTTAATCTTAGGCGAGCCTAATTTCGACCTGGCTAATGGCGAAATAGACAAGGAATGCAAAGAATCGCTGAAATCAAGCGAATCAGACAAAACCGCAAAAATAACTTCAACTGATTCTACAATCGACAAAGGAAGCAACGAAACTGAAGCTAACAGAAAAGCGGATAAATCTACAGGGACAAAGGAAGTCACCGAGATGAAAAAGCAAGCTAATACTGCAAAAATCAAGAAAAATGCAGACAATCCTGAAAAATCTGGGAAAGATAATAAAATGACAAAATCCATTAAAAAAATAAAGAAGAGTTTTGACAAAGCTGAAAAAATATCAGAAGCAATCAAAAAGACTTTGTCTAAGACCGTAAAGCAAAACAACGCTGAAGAAGACGACGTTACCAAAAAGCCGCATAAAATTGAAGATGAAAGTCGAAAAGAATCAAATTTCCGATCGAGCCCTGCTCCTTCGATCAATATAGAAGAACAAAAGGAGCATATATCTAAAGCGGATCTGCCACCTAGAAAGGGTTGAGTCTGATTTATTTCTATATGTTTATTATTTTAACTGACTTTCAATGCCTTCTTTCAGTTCATATTGAGTACATCGAGTCAAAGAATTTGAAAGATGTCGAGATAACAAAATCCTCTTCATTGGGTCACAATATCAAACCAAAGAGGCGAAGGCGGGTATCAAAACGAAGACGTAAGTTTCATTTAAAAGAAAAATTAATTCATCAATTCATCATCGAAGAATTAGCATACAATAGACTTGTCCCACCGCCTCCCCTCTCCGATAGAAATACATGTGAGAGACTCGACTCACCTTTGTGTCCATTGTTATATCGATCGGAATTGCAAAGATCAATCTCCTTTAAGCATTGAATCATAGATGACTATTGGAAGTGGCCATTATTCATCCACTGTAATCGGAAAATTAATTTGCAACGTATAAAAGGCATTCGCATAGGGGGTAAAAGTACCCAGGTGAGAGTACCCAGACTTTAAAACATAACCGCAAACAGAAAATTTTTGCAAAGTTTATATTCTGGTTGGAGGTTATGAATATCTAACATTCCTTTCACGGCAATTAAATTTTTCTTACTCTTATTCCCTTTTGTACCTTTTTATCGAGGACGCACAATATGTTCTCGATTTTATATTCATTAAACTTCCTGATCTTTTCATGCATACATAGGAGAATTACACTGTTGATAGAATTTTGAAAAATACTCGTGGAGGACTTTCAATTTTCTCATTCAAGTTTTTATTTAATATATAGTTGAGGATACAAAATCTCGACGCACAATTCATCTCAATCCTTTAGAGAATGTCATACCGCTTGAAGTTAATTTGACACGTCCGTTACGGGTTCGCATTGAAAGTGGAAAAGTTTTCAAGCCAGACTAAATTGATTCTGCTATTAATCTTTATTATAATAAATGCACGGATAATCACATATATATATATATATATATATATATATATATATCAATATATTTTACGGAATATGGAAATATTGTCCTCTGTGCAGGCTATAAAAAAGATTTTATTTGCTATTTACAGAAGAGACTACCACCGACCCTATGATCCTCAAGTTAATACGCAGATCGCAGCTTAGTACCGAAAACTTTAAACCTTGTGAAAATAAGCAAACACCGATAACGAGTTCATCATTTTTAACTGAACCAAATACGCTAGTACAAAATCCTGAAACTAAAAAAACTTCTGAAAAGGGTACAGCCAACCCAAATGAATCAGCTACCGTAAAAGCTTCAGAATTTGATAAAACTTCTAAAATTTCAACTGGATCAACTGCTGAACAGGCGTTTGAAGCCGATAAGACTTTTAACAGAAATTCTTCGCTTTCGGCTGAATCAGCAGCCGCAAAAGCCTCTGAAACTGCGAAAACTACTGCAGCTAACCAATCATTAACTGTTGAAACTCCTGAAATTAATAAAACAGCTCAAACGAATTCGGTCCTTTCATCTGAATTGTACGAAGGAAACCATTCCACAGCTGACTCTGAATCCAATACCAATAAAAAATCCGAAACTGCACCAGAATATTTAAAACCTGGTACCGAAAGGTCTCGAATCAGTGAGATTTCGAAAATGTCTTATATCGAGTCCAAAATGAATCCTTCTCTTGATATCAAATTTCTTGAAGATAAATCATCACCTAGCTTAGATTTTAAAACCGGCAAGTCAGAGGATAATAAATCGAAAGGTACGAAAGAAAAGAAGACGCCTGAAAAGACTGATGAAGACAATTTGGAGGAGATGGGCCCATCCGCAAATATTTATATATTAGCAACCCCAGAAACTGAAAAAATTATTGAAACAGATACTAGTACAATAATTGTGGAATCTAACGAAGAAGCACGACAGGAGAAGGACACTAGTATCGAGAGTACAACTCAAGAGAGCTCTGAAAAAAAAAAAAAATTAAAAAAAACACCGCTCAGTAAATTGAAAGTTGACGACTTCATTGATAAAAAACTATCTTTGAGAAGTACTACGGAAGCAAAGGTCGAAAAAAAGCTTAAATCAAAATTGCCGACGCCGCCAAACCAGTTATATCAAGATGCCGCGCCAATCGAAGAGCAAAGGAGTACAACGCAAATGAAAGCTTTCAGAACAGGTACATGGGAAGGCGAGACCCCTAAATTGGAAGCAGAAGATACCAGCCCAACTTCCTCTACTGTTTCCTTTAAGCAGAAGGCCGATCTCGTGCCGAATGCTGAGGCAATTAAATGGGGAGGTAAATATATTTCAGATTTTGTGAAAAAACATTTAAGTTTCTGTTCAAAAGCGCTTTTGTTGGTCATCTTTAAAGTGCACCTTAAATCGATTACCAGCATAATATCTGACATTTTTGCTTTCTTCGAGATGCAACCGAGAAGGGTCTCTGATTAAGTTTTCGCATTAGATTAGCACTCATATGATGAGGAGATACGGTTGGGTAAATTTGTTGTTTGTTTCCACTATTAGGTTGGAAAGAAAATGTCACCTCACTTAATGCACCTCTTTAAGGCTTCAAGGTTTTTGAACATACGAAAACCATCATTTTGATGGCAATGTCATTCCTTTCAGAGAAGAATAAAAAAACAAAAACAACTAATTTGTCTTGTGAGTCAACTCAGCGATTTTAATATTTCCCTTGGCGTGTTCTCAAAACTGCAGAGGAAGCCTGGATCTTCCCTTACTTACACAGATCAGACATGAACTAAAGCGTAACCCATTCACAAGCGCGTCCACCATGCATTAAAAAAGAAAAGAAAAAAAAAACAAGGAAACGGTTTTAAAAAGAGAAAGGGTTGATCTACAATTAGTATTAAGTCTGCAACACTAATGGATGCAAAATTCACAAAGACCTTGAAGGCGTTACCTTCTTGTAGCAAATTAGCAGGTGCATGGTGTTTTATGGACTAAATTCTGGGATGGATCTAAATTATAAAAAAAGAAATAAAGTTATAAAAAAGCATTTGTGTCAAATTTAGCAGAATTGCACGGAGATGAAAGAAAGAAAAATGACGAATTATTCCATTTATTAGTAATAATTTTGCTAAATTATCAAACGTATTACAAGCTTGCCGGGGCCGATACTTTGCCTCTCTTCTAGATAATGAAAATGTTGTCACTGTACATATATTCCAATTTTATAGCTTATCTACCACCTGAGGCAACTTCAGTCGATACTCCAAAGAAGCCAACTCCTCCAACTCGGTTAAAACGTGAACCTATTGCACCTGGTGAAAGTACCAATACGAGCGATAGCGAACGTGATATTGGTTATACGGGCGGAAGTCAAAAAAAAAGTTAGTGTTCATTAAAGTTTTTCTTTTGTTTTGTTGTTTTTTTTTTTTTGCTTTTGCTCTTGCTCTTCTCCAATTCATTGTTAACATTGGACAACTATTTTTGTTTAATTCGTATTACAGCGTACGTACAAATATTTACATACACGTTATGGACGATGCTCGGTAGTGCAGTTGTATATTTTCTGGCCGATATATTATCGCATGATGATATTAATTCCAAGACTCCTATGTTAACGATTAATAAATATTTGGCAGCATTCCAAACCCGTAAATTATCGCATGACACAATTAATAAGCCTGAGAAGGATAAGAAAGGCAAAAAAGATAAAAAGAAAAATAAAGAGTCCGATACCACGGAAAAGGCAGACAACAGTGCGAAAGACGAAGAAAATTTATACAGTGGTGACGAAGGATTTTGAAAGAAAAATATCTTTTTCTCTTTTATAAAAATTACAAAAAAAGAAACTTGTTCGAAATTTCATTTTGTCTTTTCTATTTTTATATATTTTGATAAAACCTGCGATTTTTAATTCAATAAATTTACAGATAATTTGAAGTTTTCTGACTCAGTCGTAACATATCGAAAAGATATATTAGGAATTCAAATTCGTAGTCTTTGTCTTGAATTTTTGTGGCGGGAAAATAAGCAGAAGTTTGCAAAAATTGTTAAAAAAAAAATATTGCAAAAATAGAAATTAAAATCAAAATTCGAAAATGGTCACAATAACAGCAAAATTACTTAAAATGTTCTCAGCAAGGAATTCCTATGTGTTTAGCAGAAATATTGTAAAACGGTTGCCAAGGTCAAATCAAGTTGTTTCGCTGGCAGACGCCATGGGGGTCATACGATGCAATCAAACGTCATCATCATCATCAACATCAACATCATCACCAACAACAACGCCGACCACCACCAGCACAACAACAACGAATTTAGAAGGTAATACGAAAGCGGAAACTAAACCGTGTGAAAAGTCTGACGATAAAGGCAGCGTGACCCCTCCAAGCGATAGCGCGGCAGTTCAAACAAAAGTTGCCGAAGATACTCAAAGCTCGAAAGCTCAAAGCCCTCCGAGCGAAGATTCCAAAGCTAAACAGATTAGTAAATGCACGAAAGGTGCAGACGGTGGTGAATCAAAAGAAAGTTCTGAAAGCACTGATATAATGGATAAATGCCAAAAATTCGGTTCCACACATAGTGATACTAGCTTTTGGAGGAAGCTTTCCTTGGCTGCAATCCCATTTGCTTTTGGTTTGTCCGCTTTCATATTTGCTACTAGCGGCGAATACGAGAAGGGCGATTTTATACCTTACGAGTTCATGTACCGCCATAACAAACGTTTTCCTTGGGGCGACGGTAAATATTCTTTATTGCATGGTAAAAACAATTATGATCCTGAAGAAGAAGAGGCGAAAATTGATGAAGAAGCAGAAGAGGACGGTCCGTCAACGCCCCGTTACAAAAAGACCAAAGATCCCTTAGAGGAAAAAAAGCAACTGCGAGAAAAGCACGCCGACGAAGAGCTGGAGCGGCGCAAAAAACGTCATCAATTGGAGAAGGAGAAAAGTGAAAAAGAAGCAAAGGAACAGGAACAAACACAAGAACAACAAGAATAAAAGTACAAATAATTTTTATGAGTCTGCGTCCTTAAGAGAGCCTCACACCTCACGATTCAAAAAAAAAATCTTTTTTGCAAAATTCTTGTTTGCAGTATTTTGACACTGCTCATTTATTTATTTTGCTTGCTGGAATGCTCCTTCTGTATGTACCATCTCGAGGGCTAAGGAACAAGCCCAAGAAGAACAAGAATAAAATTATCAATAAATTATATGAGGCTGCATCCTTAAGAAAGCTCCAAACCTCACAACTAAAAAAAAAATTTTTTTTGCAGTTTAATTGCTTACAGTATTTTCATTATTTATTTTGCCCGTTTATCTCTTACTGCAGTACTCTTTCTGTATGTGCCATCTCTGAACGGCGTTCCAATTCGCCAAATTTGGCCCGTACACTTCTCTTCCAAAAATTCTGTCCCATCTATGAAATAGCGCCCGATTTATTCGCACTGAGGGAACGGAAAAAAAAGGGTACATCCACTCACATCTCATTCTATGCAATCCCTGAGTTGCAATCTATGCGACAGAATTGCATAGAATATGCGACTGATGTTCATGGGGGTGCTATTGCGCAACACCTGTGAAGACAGCAGAACACGTTGAGCATTTTTGCGAGGAATTCCGACAAAAAATTATGGAATGTATTATTAAATTTCAAAAATAATGCTTTTTCTATTATATAAGCCTATTCGAATTTTGCTGAATCAGGCGTTATTTCATAAAATTCAAATATTTATTGATGAAAAATAAAAAGAAAAAACAGAAGACATACAAAATAAATTAACATTTCTTGACATCCGGTACAATGTTACAATTTTCGTTGGCCCCTTTTTTGGTGGTGGCAGTTATCGGCGGGCACTCAACGCAACAAATGTTATTCTTGGGTGTGCTAGCGACCAATCCTTCGATATTTTCCCCTTTACTAGTATTGCTGCGTGAAGATTTCACTTGAGGCTGAGATGGGGTTTCTGTTTTTGGTTTAGGTTTTTCTTCGACAATCGGCTCTTCAATTGGGGGAGGATTCTCTTGGCCCCAATATTTCTGTACGAGATTATATAAGAAATCATGATTTATATAAAATTTAAGTAACAACAAAATCGAAATAAAATTTGGCAAACTTCCACAAGGACTCTACCAAATTTTCTTACAGAACGCATATAAATCGGTTTTACACAACGACTATAACGAATCGGCTTTCATAACTAAATTGCAACGCAAAAAACCGTATTCAAATTGATCTGAATTGATTTGAATTGAGTAACTTTTATATAAAAAGTTTCAAGACGTAAATACTTGATTACCTCTGGAACGTCCCATATAATGATGGCGCCATCTGTACAACCCGTAACGAAGAATTTACGAGACGGACTATACGCTACACTTATTACAGCAGAGGCATGTTCATGGCCCTCAGCCACGACATTACCCCTATTGTAGTCCCAAAGCTGAAAAAGGAAGATTTTTATTTTTTAACGGCACAATACAAAATTTATATAACTTTGACAAGACATCTTTGCACCTTAACCATTTGATCGCTGCCCACTGATGCGAAGTAGTCACCTGTAGCATTAATGGCTATATGATTGACAGATGATTTCTTAGAGGCCTGTAATTCCCGTATCAAACTACCGTTGTAGACCATCCAATAGCTAATGCAACCGTCAGTGCCGCAAGTTAAAAATTGTACACCAGTTGGGAAGTATTTTGCAGTCATGAATTGTGTATTGGCGGCCACAACAGTTTTACGAGTTAAACGTCTAAATAGGTAATAAAGCGTTTAACAAGAAGAACCAAGGGCGGTAATTTATCAATAAAAAGCACTTATTCACTTCACTTACTTTATGTCCCAGATTACACAAGAACCATCACTACTGGCAGATATAACTTCGGTATCGAATTTATTAAAGTCTAATGTGGTTATAGGCGCCGAGTGATCCTTTAAAACGCCCAACAAACTTTGTCGAAACGGTTCAATCTTCCAAACTCGCACTTGGCCTTCTATACCCCCCGTAACTAATACCCGACCTGTTGAGGATATAGCTAAAGCGCTGCAACCTAAACAAACAAATATTTTAAATGTGTCGATTAAGAACAATAAGTCACCTTTATTATGAGCATTGGGTATAGCATAAATCAAACGGCCTGTGATGGGTGTAAAAGATCTAATAACGCCATCATTCCAAGCGGACACAATACTAGTGCCATCGAAACTGAAAGCTAATGCTGCGCAATTGAAATTATAAACCATGATGCGTAACAATTCCTGTAAACGTTTTGTCGACCAAACACGTATCGTTTCATAGCCCGCTGTAGCGAAAACATTAGACAGATTTCTGCAATTGGGATAAATAGAGAAAAAGCCATTTCAGAAGATTATTAAAAAAATGGAATTTTTATTACGCATCGCCTAAATAATCATACGCTTCCTCGTAGAAACGATGTACTAGTATGAGTATTGTTAGAAGGCAAGCGATCGCATGACATTATGCTTTAATTGACTTATCTAAGCGGGAGGAGCAAAGATTCATAATTTACCTGGGGAACACTATAGCATATACGGCCTTTTTATGGGAAGTTTTCAAAAGCTTCAAACTAAAAGTTTTGATATTCAACAAATATATCTCATTCAAGTCGGTAGCGATATAATATTCCAGGGGGTTAATTTCCACTAAAGAGCTTACCGCCCCATTTACTTTAGTTCGTTTTAGCTGAAATTTGAAATATTAACTTTAAAATACGAAAATCGTAAAAACAAAGCAGATGGATACGCTATAGAATATACGGAGAGTGGTATAGCTTTTAAGCGCCTTTGGATAAATTCTTACCATCTTTAGCATAGGACAAGTAGGATTCGGATAATTTTTAAAGGCGATTTCATTAATATCTTTACGCTCTTCTACCAACTCAACGACACCATCTCCTGCGCCTACTAATAATAGGCCATCGTCAACAATACGCAAGACGCGCACACCATGCACGTAGCGATTACAGTCCTTGCCGAACGGTTTACGGGGGTTGTGCACACCGTAGGCACCCACAAGTCCGGAAGTTTGACCCACATGAGTAACATTGACAGCATCACAACAATTCAGAGACACTTTCATCAAATCCCCACTGTACGTACCCATATAAGCGTACTCATCGCCGCGATATATACCCACACAACACATGCGCCTTTGTTGTTTACCCATGAATACATCCTGGACATTAACCTTTTTCATTTCACGTTGAATGCTCCATAATCGTAAATGACCTGAAATGCAAACATCGAACCGATAAGCATGTCAAGTACAAAAATTAATATCGAATCAAAAATTCGAATTTTTTTTTTTTTGCAGAAATTCTTTGAACCAAAGGCGTAAGGACAGCCTTATTGAAAACATGTTTTAAACAATGTTTATGGTTTTATTTACTGCAGATCGGAGATTAATGGTGCAACGGCGTTCAAATTTTCAAATTCAATTTATCCGGAATTTATGTTCTTTGTCAAAACGACACCCACTCTCAAGCTAAACGCTAGTACGGACGGAAAAGTATGTGCGTCAAAATAAACAAAAACCAATAAAATAACAGAAGCATAATAAACGAAAATCAAACTCAACATGAAGTTTTTTAAAAGAAATTCCTTAAAAAATCAACTGATTGTCTAAGGTTTTACATATTTTACATTTAATATACTTACGATCACCAGCTGTTACGAAAAATGAGGGATTATTGTTTAGTGCCTTTACCACCTCCGGATTACCATTAATACCCCGTGAGGCTACGGAGCGACATATCGGAGTCCTAAACAGGTACAAAAATATTAAGAACAAAAATATTAAGACGCTGAAGCATTACTGCTACGTCTTTCATATAAATAACGCGAAAAAGAAGAAGAGATTTAGTTTAAAGGCTTTTTTCACACACTTCTTACTACAGCGCAACACAGGAGAGCAGAATGACGAGAAAAGGAAACGGTGTTTACGCTTTCTTTTTAGCTTACCGTGTTTCAATATCAAAGACAATCACCGAACCATCATCACGGCCGCCAATCGAAATTATATATTTATCATGAGCGGTAAAGCAAACTGACTGAGCCCGAACCTTTGAAAGTAAAGCAATTGTAGAATTCATTTTATGCGGCGATTAAGTCAATCGAATAAACTTGACAATAAATATACCTTGTGCAAGTCATGTCTAGCTAATTCACGACGTTCAGCGAAATCCCAGAGTATAACGTAAGCTGGAAAGCCCATATGATTGATTTGCCCAGAAGCCATATATTTTCCACTAAATAAAAAGGAAATTGATATAAAAATTATTATTATTTTTTTTTTTTTGTATTTAAAAAATTCCTTTTTCATCCAAACATACATACCTGCGACTTAAATCCAAACAAGATAAATTATTGGTGTGTCCGGCTATAAATTCCTGTGTACTGGTCTTTGTATCATCAATACCAATTTTCATGCCCAATGGGAATATCATGTGACGGCCATCGGGATGTAAGTGCAAGCCAAAGTTCACTTTACCATTAATACCGAATATAGCGCGACAATTTAATTTTTCAACCTCAACGTCATTTTGAACAGTTTCGGTCATGTTCGCTTCCAGTTTTATATAAGATGATTTTCGATGCAAAATTTGTATATATATATATATATATATTTATATATATATATAATCTTTCCTCTTTTATTTGGATTAATAAAATAGGATTATTTGTAAAAAGATTTTTTATAAACCGATGAATATCAAATATAATGACTGAATTGACAATCATGTATGACGATTAAAATTATGAGAGAGTGATTTTGAAAAAAAAAAGTTTTTTTTGTTATTTTTATACAAAAAATATTCACAGGAGTGTTTATTTCATGAAACAGTAACTAACGACGCTAATGCTAGTGGAGTGCACGACCATGACAACAAACAAAAAAAATTTAAAAGAAGGTTAAAGGATCTTCGTATCCTTACAGCAACGACCACTTCTACATAGATATATGTACCGCTCAGACCTGCACATAAACACATAAACCAAGTAGGAACATTATAGTCGGGCGAGGCCGACTATTAAATATCCTGCATCCTTTCGCCTACTACAGTCATTCACTCATTTCGTTAAGAATACACCAAAAATGACATATTGTTTTCGTATGCGGAGGCATACTTTTCATGGAAGTTCGAATATTAGAGGAATCATCCAAGCTTGGTAAGGTTGATTTCCATGTGAACTTAGTATGATGAACTAATATTCATAATGCAGTATTAAAAATTACACCATTTTGCAATATAAAGATTCAGTTTTATGAGAGAGGGTTCAAAAACAATTCCCCCGCCCAACTAAATTTTTCATAGCAATTTAGAAAGTCCAAATACTATTGTCGAGCGAAGAGAAATTTTGAAAATTACAATTTTTTTCCCATATAACTTCTTTTTAATAAGCGGGTGTTACATGGGAACTCCGCGAAAAAGGGGCACAATCCGAACAATTTTCAATAGTGTTCGCCCTTGAATAAAAAAAACACATCATATTATTCAGATATTTCATCAGATCATCTCGAAAATTGCAACTTATGAACCCGAACAAAAAAATATATGGACGAATATGAAATGGACAGACGGACGCTGTTTAATATACCCTCTATAACAATTGATGTAGGGTAACAAGAACAATTTACTTTCCTTGGTGAATTTAAAATTTTAAAATGAAAAATAAAAAAAGAAGAAATAAACATAAGTTAAACTTTTTAACTTTTGCTAATCATGTCAAGTTGTTTGCTGTTAAATCTGCAAAGGTTGTTTTTTTTTTTTTTTTTTTATATGTCATTTTAGTCGAAATCTGTATCTGTATAGGAAATCAACAAAGGATTCTTCTCAGTCGAAATATGTGTAAACAGATAGAATCTAGGCAGCTGCACACATATCATAATTTAGGCTAAAAAGGCCATCGTTCGTTGATTTTCTATATAGATAAAAATATTTGTAGTCGTTTTTTCGTAAAGACACAGCGTTCAATGAATATCGACGCTTTTAGAGACTGGCCACAAATTTGGTGGAAAGCACTGTTTCTCAATGAATTAAGACGACGAAGCTTATTGGACCCAGTTATCAGCCACCGTATGTAAATAAGTTGATGAGGACGTTTGCTAACGATATTGATACCAATGAATCAGTCATTGTGTGGTAAGCCACGTAAGTCTTTGGTGACGATGTGTACGGATAGGTAAAATATAGAAAAATCAACTAAAATTCCATCATTGATTTGAAAGAGGAACTGACACAACCAAGCGTCAGACTTAGTAATTACAACTTGGGATGGTGTTCGCAATTCTGTGCTTAAGAACTGACGTTTCCTTAAAATATAAACTTCTCCACATGCACATATGCTCAATAAACCATCTTTATGGATTTATGATATAATACTAAGTATGGCATAAGGCATCTAACTCAAAAGTTGAAGATGAGGTAAAATCGCGGCCAAAAGAGAAGCTTTAGCTTTCCGGTAAAACGATATCCGTATACTTTTAAATTCTCCAAGTCTTCGATCTTAGGCGTCTAACCCAAGATCTTTAAAGCCAAGTTGACATCAAAACATACCTTATATGCCAGTCTCGCAACTGCACTGCAAAGTTACGCTATAAGACCTTTCAAATTTGGAAACATTTTACACGCATTACCTGATAACATAAAAAGCAAATTTTCAATTACATACTCTTGGCAGGATATATAATAACTGATGATGTATAAAGCGTGAAAACCAGATTTGAACATTTCAACACACAATTGTTGGTATGCCTACCAACCGGGTAAGTTAGTTATTATTATCTAAAGATAAAAATGCGTCATGAAGGGGCAAAGTTTAAGGGGAAAGTTTGCTTCCTTGGTATCGAGGGAGTATTAAATAAAAATCACTCGTAATTTTCAATACAATTTCTTTGCTGTGTTCAGTTGATATATAAAATAAAAGTTTTTTTTTTTTTTTTTTTTTTTTTTAAGACATTTTTTATTAGGTTTTATAATTTTTTTTGTTGTGTTTATAATTGTGTTTTATTTTGTTTGTTTTACTTTGTATTCTATGGGTTTTGTAATGATTTCTCTTTTGTTTGTTTGTTTGTTTTTTTTTTTTTTTCACAGTTCACAACCTTACAAATTGAAAAAATTGATATTAAAACCAATACATATATATATGACTGACTGTAATTGATGATAACTTCGACCGTTAGAGTGAATCTGTAAAATCGACTGAGACAGTCCTGTACCTGTAACGCATGACTGAACGTGTACGTGTGTGCGCGTGATTATAAATGTGCGTTTATGTGTATGTGTGCTTTTTTTTTTTTATAATGTGGGCATGTGTTTCTAAATTGTTTATTTTTTTTATTGTTGTTCTTGTTGTTGTTGTTATTGTTGTTGTTATATGAAAACATCAATCAGTATATGCTAAATACTTATTAAAAGTTAATTTATTTCATTTAAATTAAAAGAAAATGAAAAGAAATTCGTGTATATGTAAAGAAAATTGAGTAAATGTATAAAAATTCTCTGTTTTAAATTTTATAATGATACATAAACATATCTATGTAAATATGGGCTGTGATTGCTCTCTTGTATTGTGTCTTTTCTTTGTTTTTGTTTTGTTTTGTTTGGTTTTGTTTTGTTTTCTTGATTATTTTTGCTTCGTTTGTTTTACTTTCATTAATTTTTCAACTAAATATATGTATATATGCATACACATATAAACTGAGACTTTAGTTTTACTTAAACAATACAATATTTCTTTTTTATCGTTCTTGCCATTTTATTTATGTTATATTGTTGTTGTTGTTCTTGTTTTTATATTGTTTGTTACTTTGTAAGGAAGAGAAAAATAGAATTTTTGCTTAATTTTTTTCTATTTTTTGTTTTTGTTCTTCTTTCTTTTTTAATTTACATTCTACGTTTAATGCGGTTTTAAAATACTTTGTGAAATAATTATTTTTCTTATGTTATTCTTTTGTTTATTTATTATTTGTTTGTTTTTTTTTTTTCACTTTACAAGCTATTTAATATTTAATAGTAGTTTATTAAACAAAAAAATCAATTGTGTCTTAGAGTTGAGTTCAATTGAAAGAAATTACATACAATTTGGCACAATTTAGTTTGTTTTTGTTTTCTTGTTTTTTTTTTTTTTTTCTATTTATATATATATTTGTATTATCTAAAAACTACAATGATACGTATGTACTGTCTAGTTGTTGTTGTTGTTGTTGTTGCTTTCATTATCTATAGTCGTCAATAAATGAAAAATTTACATAAGAATTGTTATTCCGATATCCAAATTCATGCTTCACGCTTCGAAGATATGTATTCTTGATCGGCATAGGATTCCATATTATATCAGCGATGTCCCTGCATCCGTCCGTCTGTTCATTGTTCATGGGACTCTCAAAATCAAATAAAACAAAACAAAAAACGAAAAACGAAAAAACTTCTTTTGAACACACTACAGCTTGACAAAAAAATAAACAAAAACAAAAATAACGAAATTGTCCATTAATGTGTATAAACTAAGTCTACAAAGGGGCATTAGCTTGGAGAATTTCGTTATGAGTCACTTCAAAATATCGCCGAAAGCATTATCGTACGCATATAATGCAGGAAATGTCGATTGAAATCTAGTGCAATTATCAAGAGAAATGTTTTGCATCCGCAAATTGACCGACTCTTTGGCCCATTTATGCTCAGGATTTAATGAGGTAAATACTACTATGTCCGAAAGTCCCCCGCCTTCGATGAAGTAATCCACCAACTCAAATCATATCGCTTGTAGATTGTTTGAACCGGCGAAAGAAATTCATGGTATACAACACCAGGATAATCCAAGAAAACCGTTGACATCGCCTTGATCTTTGAGTGAGTTGGGCACAGTTTGTTCGGTTTCGGCTCATCCTATGCACGATATTCGCTCGGCTGATCGACTGTTCTCGTGGCGTATGCGTGGATCCAAGTCATCGGTAGTCGGAAATCATCTCCTTACATCCGTTATAAAAATCGAAAAAAAAACTTTTTGTACCGTACAAAATTAAGCACATCTGAAACGCTAATGACGTTTATTATGTGAAATTTGACGCAGATGTCTGTCACAGCGCTACCAATTTAGAAAGAGAATATTTTCGATATTCGCGCAATTTAATTTGAGTATTGGTCTTATTTTTTGGTCGTAGTATTATATTCGATTTGATTCGTTTCAGATCGAATATATTGATATTCATGCTTACTTACGTACTATTCGATCGCATCATATATCGCTTCAAATCGATTCTTTTAGCATTTAACTTAAGTTAATTTTGTCGCTTTACTACATATATGGTTTTACAATAATTGTAATCAAGACCCCGTCCTGGCTAAACAAGTAATTTTTAAAACTGAAAGGCAACAAATTAATAATAATTGTTTTATTAATTAATTGCGAATGGACGCAAAAGAGTTCAGTTGACCAACGATAATCAACGAAATAATTATTATTAGAAAGCAATCCATTGTTAATTATGATTTAAACGCACGGACACAAGGACACGCCTAACCAAATCAATTACGCTGTTCATACGAATTGAGCATAT